AAATAATCACTCAGCTGTTCCTTTACACTCCTTACATTTGTGTTTCTGTCAGCTTCAGATGTAACTGCATGTTTAACATGTACATACATATGTGTTTTCAAGGTGGCTTTCTGTGTAAACCTTTTCATGCAAAAGGTACACTGGAATTGTTTCTCGCCAGTATGTATTAACTTATGTCTGGCCATGTTTTGTTTGCTGGCAAACTGTTTACCACAAATATCACACATTGTGGTCCCAAGATCAACCAGTGGAGTCCCTAAAAATATAGAAATTATGACTGTAAATTACTGAATTTAATTGCATTAGATTATTAAATTCTTATCTAGATCAAAATCATAATCTTATCTATAAGTTTCAATTCCACATTAGTAATTATGATAAAAATTTACATTTTTCTTAAATGTTCAACCAACTAACATTCTGATTCTGGGGCTCATCATCCATAAGGTAACAAAAAAAGCAAAAAAGTTTCTGAAAATTATTTACTACTAAAAATGTTTTTTTACTTTACTCAGTTACAGAATATTCAAATAATCATACTGTCACTGCTCCTCTTTTTATATTTCATAATGTTTTATTTAACAAAAATGTTAAGTAATATATCTTCTTTATTCATCATTTGTTGACTTTTTTAAAGGCAAATGAACATATCATTGAGTGGTCACTTTAGTAATACATTTAAGGTCTGAAGTATTAGTGCTGTATCTTGTATTTCTCCACTCTAGAAGATTTATGATTTACAACATTTTTTTTTTAGTAAATTTCAAAATCTCCTTAAGGCAATGTTTTGCAGATAAATCACAAACACAACCAACTTGAATACTGTTTAAAGCCACTACAAAGATTATGCACAATCAAGAATAATGTTTAAAGCCACTACAAAGATTATGTACAATCACTTTACACTTATTATAATGTTTAATGACTTTCCATAACGTCATAGCAAACATATCTGCAACAAATTCATGACCAGACTCCTTCATTAATTCCTACTCTTTCACATTTCCTACTCCTTCCTTTAAACATTTCCTTCTTCTTCCTTCAACTTTTCCTACTCTTTCAACATTTCTCTAGTCCTGCCTTCAACATTTCTTACTCCTTCCTTCAACTTTTCCTACTCCCAGATTCTTTAAACATTTCCTTCTCCATCCTTCAACTTTTCCTACTCTTCAACATTTCCCTAGTCTTGCCTTCAATATTTCTTACTCCTTCCTACAAATATTTCATACTCCTTTCTTCAACAATTGTGTTTTCATTCATAAATCCCGATGAGGATATATTAAATTTTGAAAAAAAAAAGCCTTACAGTTTACATTCTATCTCTCCTTCAAGTTTGATATCTAAATAAAGTTGCCATTATTCATCATATAACATCCATTCTCAACACTTGTGGACATATGCAACATGCTTAACTTACTATTCAACCATGTGACTTTGTACGAAAGTTTCATATCAAGTTCAACTTGTTTAAATGAACAGCCATGTGCGACTTTAACGTAGCTTTTTGGTTGTATGATTTCAGACAGATTTTACACTGGAAAGGTCGAACTCCTGAGTGGATCAACTTATGTCTCTCTATGTTCCGTTTATGAGCGAAATATTTTCCACACACGTCACACTGAGGCTGGTTCTTATTCTCAAGTTGACCAGGATACAGTGCTCTATTATCCTGGTTCCTGTCAATACAATCCTTCAGGCCCTGGTTCCCAAATACACAATCCAAAGTTCCAGGCTTCCCCATTGTAAAGTTGGGAAAACCTATAAAAGTGATAAAGATTTGTTAATTTTTTTTCATTACTTACTTAGTTCAAATAGCCTTATAAATACCTTAAATACATGTACTAAAATGGACTATAAACAAAAATCTAAGGATGAAACAAAAAACTAAACAACAAATATAAGATTTCAAAAGATAATATATTAAAACAATTTTTAGAGCAAGTATTAAAAGGGTGTTAATGTTAGTACAAAATGTATATAAATCAATAAGTATAAAAAGTAAAAACATTGCCATTATCTATCAATACAATCAAACTGGGTAGGTTATGGACCCTATATTGTTACAGACATTCAGTCAACTGTGAACAGCACCCAGTAGCAGTTGCACACAGTAATGACAGAGGTGCTGCAAATCTTACTCCACCAATAAATAAAGTTACTATTCAACTTATCCCTGTCATGTAAAATCCAATCAAGTCATTTGAAACAAGTTCTTTAGTATTTCTTCATAGGTTAATTCATATAATAGTTTTCTTATCCAAATTAATATGTTTTAAATAACTTTTCAACCTATTATGTAACTGATTAAATCTAAATAATTAGTTTATCTTTCATATGTACAACCATGTGAGCTTTAAGATTCGCCTTTTGATTAAAGCACCGATGGCATTTTTCACATTGAAACGGTTTTACTCCAGTGTGGATCATCCTATGTCTTTCTAGTTTTGCATTGTTTTGAAAGTATTTGCCACAAATATCGCACTGTTTTTTACCGCCTTGACCAATGGTGCCGTGACCAGGATTTTCTACTGATGCATTAGTGTTAGGATAGAACATCTGACCTAAAATGGTAAATAAAGTAAATTCAAAACATCATTGTTGACAACACCAAATTTTAAAGATCTTACAACATTAAATTACTAAAATTTAGGACTAATTAAAACCAAAGCTTTTTCCATTTTCTTGAAATCTTTATTTTACACAAAATCATCATTTTTTTTTATTTACACAGTGTCTATTCTAGGAATTGAAAAATAGGGGTGATTTTCCCCCCTCTATTTCAAAAAAGGGGGCGATTTTCAAAATCAAAGGGTGCCAATATAAACTGCCAATGTTAAATCCTCTGCATTAAGTTTACACTGAGGCATTCAACCGATGAAATAATTAAAACGATAATATTTATTTAAGGCAGCAGAAGTTGTCCCCCCTGAATTTTTAAACGAAAACAAATTATTACAGAACTGCCGCGATTGATTATAAAGGGATTGGCAATACAAATAATCGAACTATCATTCACGTCTAGATCGTAGCCAAGCTATGGATTGCCTCATTTTTCTTGATTATTTACTACACTAAAATGGCGCCCAACTGTCAGACCTAGCACACTAGTTCCGGTCGATACGGAACATTCCGTTAATTTCCGTCAACTCACGTAACGAGTACCATACGGTACTAAATTATTATAATTAGCTTACAGTTACCTCCCTTCGGTTTTCTGTGTAAATGTAAACAAAACAACCAAATATAATGCGGGATGGAAGTTTTACGGTTTTATTAACTTTTTTTATAGATGCGCGATTTTCACGCACATGATTTTGAATTATGCGCGATCTGTTAAATACTAGCGTGAATCGCGCAATCGCGCGTCCTAGAATAGACACTGTTTACATCAAATATACATACACATAATTTTCATGTTATCTTGTTATCCTACTCCTCTGTATACACTCAACAATATTATACATAATTATAAACGAAAACAATATTTAACAATATAAAAAGATCAAATAACCTTAATAATTATGTAACTTCTTTCATATTATGTCCAATTAATGGACAAGCAACTCTTTTTAACTTGTAACCAGTCATTATGATTATCTACAAATAACTGATTTTTTTTTTTACTTGTTTATGCAACAGCTATGTCTTACATGAAATTATAACTTAAATTTAATAACCATTTAACCATAACCAATAACCATTGGGAAAATCCAAACCTATCAAATATTGACTTGTTCAGATAATTTTACAAATTCATTAAAACCCATTACACTTAAAACTTGTGCTTTTTGGAAAACTCTTCATATCGCCGAGTGATTTCCAAAACAAATTGGAAATTTTCAATACTTTTGTCATTTGTGTCAAGTCCTACGTTCTCTATTTTATACCCGGCGGTCTTTTAATTACTGACACAAATCAATCATAAATTGTCACTGAATTTCAATATAAGAAATTTATCAATGACTAAATAAATTTTAGAGACAATCTAATGAGAACTGGGATTTATAATGTACAATCATATGAGATTTTAAATTTGACTGTTGATTAAACCGCTTCCGACAAACTTTGCACTCAAAAGGTTTATCGCCAGTATGTATAAGTTTATGCCTGTCCATATTGTATTTAGAGTAAAACGCTCGCCCACAATAGTCACACTGGTACCCACCTGTGCCCTCACTGTTTGTATCTGTAAAAAGAACGAGTGAAATGTAAGAAACAGATATTTGTTTTTTGACTTACACACCTCTTGGTGTAACATCAGAGCAACCTGACTTTTAAACCTTTGACCTGATAGTTGTAACTTATTCTATGTACCCAGTGAAGACCAAGATAAGTGATGCTGTCTGACCAGAGTCTGCACTGTTATATTTTGTCAGTACCTTATCATGAAAATTTCCCAAAAGGTTTTGTCCGGAATGAAAAATGAACAAGACATTTAGCATAGTAAATAGAGTTAAGGAGAAACTAGTTTACATAAGACAGGCCATTGAACTCGAACATGACTTATTATGGATTTTATAAGATAAGAACACTTGTCTAGTCTTACAACAAAGGTTGCTTTGACTTTGTAATCTTACATCTTTAAGTAACATCATTTCTCCATTGTATGATCACACATAAAACAAGAGCACCGCTAGGCGGAGCATTATATGCCCGAAACTGCTTTTTTTCTTTACTAAGGATGAAGCATTTGTAAGACATTACATAAATTAAATAAAGTATTACCTCCTTCAAATAGCAATCCTCCTATAAAGTTTGAATATTGTGGGCCAAATGGAACTTCAGTTATGCTCTGGAAACTGTTTTTAGTTTTGAGGTAATAGCTACCTTGAACTTTGACCGTGTGACCCCAAAATCAATAGGGGTGTTCTACCCAATATGGACAATCATCCTATGAAGTTTCAACACTATGGGCCAAATAGAAATTAAGTTATGTTCTGGAAACTTTTTTTCAGTTTTATAGTAATAGTAACCTTGACCTTTGACATTGTGACCCCAAAATCAATAGGGGTGTTCTACCCAATATGGACAATCATCCTCTGAAGTTTGAATATTGTGGGACAAATAGACCTTAAGTTATGCTCTGGAAACTGTTTTCAGTTTTAAAGTAACAGTGACCTTGACCTTTGACCTTGTGACCCCAAAATCAATAGGGGTCTCCTACCCAATAGGAACAATCATCCTATGAAGTTTCAACACTGTGGGCCAAATGGAACTTAAGTTACGTTCCGGAAACTGTTTTCAGTTTTAAAGTAATAGTGACCTTGACCTTGTGACCCCAAAATCAATAGGGGTCTTCTACCCAATATGGACAATCATCCTATGAAGTTTGAACACTGTGGGGCAAATGGAACTTAAGTTATGCTCTAGAAACTGTTTTCAGTTTAAAGGTCATAGTGACCTTGACCTTTGACCTTGTGACCCCAAAATTAATAGGGGTCTTTTACCCAATATGGACAATCATCCTATGAAGTTTGAACACTGTGGGCCAAATGGACATTAAGTTATGCTCTGGAAACTGTTTTCAGTTTTAAGGTCATAGTGACCTTGACCTTTGACCTTGTGACCCCAAAATCAATAGGGGTCTTCTACCCAATATAGACAATCATCCTATGAAGTTTGAACACTGTGGGCCAAATGGAACATAAGTTATGCTCCGGAAACTGTTTTCAGTTTTAAGGTCATAATGACCTTGACCTTTGACCTTGTGACCCCAAAATCAATAGGGGTCTTCTACCTAATATAGACAATCATCCTATGAAGTTTGAACACTGTGGGCCAAATGGAACTTAAGTTATGCTCCGGAAACTGTTTTCAGTTTTAAGGTCATAATGACCTTGACCTTTGACCTAGTGACCCCAAAATCAATAGGGGTCTTCTACCCAATATGGACAATCATCCTATGAAGTTTGAATGTTGTGGGCCAAATGGAACTTAAGTTATGCTCCGGAAACCAAATTGCTAACGGACGGACGGACAGACGGACGGACGGATAGACAGACGGACGGACGGACGGACGGACGGACGCCAGGGGGTATAACATAATATGCCCGAAATTCTTTCGGGCATATAAAAACTAGGAAAATTAGCAATTAACATGTAAAATTGAGTAATTTACTATTTGTAAATTTAAAAACTTCTTTTCATCAAAATCATAGAATCATAATCAGCTTTGAAAGAAAAAGTGTAACTGGATGCTATCTTACTAATAAAATATAAACAATGGTCAACAAATAACAAAATAAGTTTGTTCAGTTAAATCCCTTTTCTTCCTCTTCAATTCTTTCAACACAAATTAGTTTATGCCATAATATCCACTTTGCTTTCAAGAAAATGTTTTATGGTATTCCTTTTCCTCTCAACAAAAGTACAGATTTCTAGTTATCTGTTGTCAATTAATAAATTTCTTTCTTTTACATTTTTTCACTTCCAAAAATAGGAAGTTTATTCTCTTTGTTATTCTAGTTATCCCTTTTGCTTTTTACACATGTAAGTAACTCTTTTAATCTCCTTTGCCTTCAATTGAAGTCAATATCATGACACAATTTCCTTTAGTATCAGTAACCAAATCAGCATCAGGCTTACTTCCTATTGCAGTACTTGTACAATTTAATCCACCAAATTTGTCCAAAAAAAAATACATTTCTAACAGTTATGTGAACTACTGTAGGAGTTATCTTCCCTCTGAATAATTTGGGAGTTATCTTTTCTCTGAGCAAACAGGTTATTATAACTGGAATCAACAGCTAAGTGAGCGCGTTATAATCATTTAGCCCAAGTAGTTTTTTAAACTGAACAGTTATCTGAACTACTGTAGGAGTTATCTTCTCTCTGAATAACTTAGGAGTTATCTTCCCTCTGGACAAACAGGTTTTCACAATTGGAATGAACAACTAAGTGGGTCCTCCAGTTACTTCTCTGAGCAAATCGTTTATTACATATCTTACAAACATACGGCTTTTCTCCAGTATGCGTGCGTAGATGAACTTGAATATTCTGTTTGGTTTTCGCTGTCTTGCCACACAGCTGGCAGGTATACATCCTATCTTCAGTGATGCCTGTAATGTAAAGTCACTGTGTGAATAAATTACTTCAAACTTGTTGCCTTTTTATTTTTTCTACAAACACTACTTAGTTCCTGCAGGGCCCATAAAAAACTAATAATGCTCACCCTTTTCTGAGAAATTCGAATATAAACATGTACTCTGCGGTCAGCCTACATGTATGTGCATACTGGACTGGCTCTATCTTGAAGGCCATTCACTCATAAGTCAACATTTTTTGCTACAAAGATATTATTAATATCAACACATTTGAAGCCAGTATATAGTACCATTTCAAAACAGACTGAACAATGAACAATAAACTACTGTATAGACGAATATAAGATTGGTTATTTGACCTCGTTCAATTTTGATATCAAACTTTCAAAAGAACAGAAATGAAAAGGAAGAAAGAAATATGTGAAATTTTAAACTCATCTTTATTTGTTACAAGTTATATTCAAATTTCATTACTAATTCATTTTTGGTATGTTTTAAACACATTTACAATTACAAATTTAGGTAATTAATATTATGTTATGTATGTATAATGTATTAGCATTAAGAATTGAAAGTTATTATTTTTAGACAAAGAATTATAAAATAAATATTTATGGGGGTATAGAGTTGTAAACTTTGTTATACACACTTTGCCAGGTATCAATAATTGTTCAAGAAAATTTCAAGTATCAAAATAGTTCTTTCTTTTTCTTTTTATATTTTTTTCCTTTCAATTACTTTTAAATTCCAGGCAAAAACAATTTAACATTTGAGTTGATACATTTTAATATTCCAAGTGAAAATTTAGTTTTAAAAGTCCAGGTTCAATCAATTTGACATTTGAATTTGTTCCAGGTGATAAAGGTTTTACCATTCCAGGTTAAATCAATTTTGACATTTAAGATGATATTGTTTTTTTTCTTCTTCTCTTTTTTCTATTCCAGGTGGAATTGGTTTCACATTTCAGATAATAATCTATCTGACATCTGAGATGAACTGTCTTTTTAAAATTCCAGTTGAAATTATGTTTCTTATTTCAGGCGGGATCAGTTTGACTTCTACAGTTGATTTTTATTTCATATATTCCTTGCAGTAATTAACAGTGCAAGTTGACATTGACTAGTGAAATTGATTTTTACAATTTCCAGGTGACTCAACTTTCAAATCAAGTAAATAAAGATATTCATTTCAATATGGTTATCTCTTCACATCATAATGGCATTGCCCAACTCAGATTGACTTGAATGCACTACCATGTGTACTTTCCAATTACTCTGGGCCGCGAATGCTTTTTGACAAATATGACAAACATATGGCTTCTCCCCTGTGTGTATTCTCAAATGTACTTGCATATTCTGTTTTGTTGTGAACTCTTTTCCACACAATTCACATGGGAATGACGGTTTCTTAATTCTTTTTATACCTGTAATTTATAGAAAAAAATACTTATACTAGAATAAAAAAATTTATTGCTCTTGTGAAAATTATTCTTAACTTTTTCTTTTTTTGGGGGTGGGGGCGACTGTTTCTCCCTGCATCTGAAAAACCATTTTTATTATTGACAAAAGAACAAATTAAGATTTAAACTGTTTTTAATTTTTATTATTTTTAAAAAGACTAGAAAAAAAACATGACTACCAAAAATTATTCTATATGTTAATAACATAATTGTTAAGAGAGAACATTTAATGTAATATAATACAAACCAATAGCTCTAATCAAAACCACTGGAGGTGGGGGGGACATAAATCAAAATTTGATTCTACATTTGAAAGTCATTCACATGATACAGTTACTATAAAGCAACATTGCTATTACAATCTTTTAAGTACAGTTATTTTACCCTGTTGTAATTGCCTATTACACATGCTCAGATTTGAACTTTGAACTCAAAGACAAGTGTGTCAATATAAAAATGTTGCAAATTGAGCAACCACCAGAATAGAAATGTGTCTGCCATTATATCTGTAAGTACCCAGTACTAACCAACATTTCAAATTTATTAATATATTCATTTTCTTTGTGTCTTCAGAGATGTGATGCATTGCTAGGCAACAGTTTACATGACAAAAATTCACTACACAAAACTGATTTCTTTCTCTGGTCTGATTTCCTTGTAATGTTCCAGAAATTCAAGATGTTGCCGAGCAACATGCGATTGTAAATGATGTCTTTGCCTAAATGTTGCGTCACAATGTTTACAACGGTACGGTTTTTCTCCAGTGTGTATACGCATATGTATTATTAGGTTTTGCTTCTTCTTGGATATCTTTCCGCAAACAGGACACGGCCAGTAACTCTTGGCTGCCGCTAACTTCTCAACTGAAACAAACAGAATAACTGAACTGGATAACTTGGTTTTCTTTTAAAAACAGTATGGTTTACCAATCAATTCTGACAAAACCTGTCCCATACTGCTGGAACAGAAACAATGGTCTTTCTTCATGTGTGCATTCAATGACCACAATTTCTAAGCAACAATAAAAGGTTCTATACATATTTGTAATTCATTTTTATGTAGTATATTTAAAGCATATAGTTATTACAAAGTAAATTATTGTGCAGATAAATATGTAAACTAAATATCTTTTCCAGGTTATCCATCTATAACGTTATATAAATACAACCATATTAAAACATTACCAACTCCACAAAGTGTTTTCAAAATTATTAAAATAACAATACAATGAATTTCTCAATTTAAATAAACACCCTAATGACACAAACGACATATACATAATTTTGTTACCCTACCCAGATATAAACATGTGTATAAAGGCAAATTTTTCACCATTGAACAAGTATGATGGAAACATTTACATTTAGACAAATTTTACACCATATAACCATGTCGAGTTTGCCTAAGAATTGCATTCAGATGTCATAAGTAAAGTACCACACATTTTGCCTTCACATTAGTGTTGATATTATAAATCTATTACATATGGAAATAAAATGCCATAGATAAAGCAAAACATAATAATGGAAGAATTTGTTTATTTAATCAATGTGATCAGGAAATGAACATTAACTTATAAATATTATAAATATTAAATATGACTGCCTAAGTGAAGTTACCACATTATGTATGTATTGTATATAACTAAAGTAATTGTAGAACACAAAATAGTGACCAGGGAAATACAATGGGGGAAAAACAATTATCATAAAATTGTTCATCCTCTTATTATCAACAAGACTGCAAAAACCCAAACAATTTAAATTAAAGTAAAAATTTGGCTACGGTCAAACATAATAACTGTAAGAGAACATGAAAACAGCCATTATCACGGAAGAGTTTTGTAATCAAAACGTATACATTAATTTCATCTAGTATACATGACTAGGGATCATAATTACAGCTGTAAATATTTGTATCTAATCACCATTAACATGTCTAATAAAAACATACATGTATGTAACTTTCATTAAACTACATAGTAAATTATTATGCCAACATGGTTTTTGACTACGTCTACATGACTGTAACAATAATTATTATATAATAATTAATAATACTAATGCCAACATGGTTTTGAAAGTCAACCAGTCCATGTTAACTGGCTTATTCTGAAATTTAAAATTCCAAAATATTAATATAAATGCAACAACATATAAGCAAAATATGCTTCAAAAGTGAAAACAAACGCACAAAACAACTGTCTTTTTATTATTTCTTTAAACAATAATACATTGCTATTTTCTTCTAAGGCATTCCCCCAAAGTCGGTAATTTTCTTGCACTGAAGCTCAAGAAGTAATCGTGATTTGTACAGAAGACACAATTGACAGTAACTCTGAGACTTTTCAAGTTTATTCTCTTGATTTTAACATGAAACTACTGTCAATAGCTGTTACTTGAACAACTTGTTGTTTATCTTCATCGTCCACAAATGTTTATAGACAAAGGGACAGTATCTCATAAGAAGTAATTTTCAAGTCTTATTAACATTACTTATCATATTCCATATTTCACTGAAGTATTTTCACTCTTTTCAACAAGTGTAATTGAGTGCTACAAAATGCACTAAATTTTAAGACCGAGTTTATACACCTAATACCAATTTTAAACCAATTAACAAATCACAAATTGTGATACACTGTGTGTACTGTACTGTTACATGACAGCAAAAGTTAGAGCACTAATCAATTATTGAAGTGTACAGAACTGTGGGTGTGCTTTAGAAATGGGCAAGAATTTTTGTTAAAAGGGGGACAACCACACTGGTACACAAAATATCTACACAAAATCATATTAATTGAGTTTAGATCAACAAACATTTCAGTCAATCAATTAAATGGCACTAATTGTTCAGATTATGTTACATATTATTACACACTTCTACATCAAATTAGCTCAAAGTTACACCTTTTACTAGGAATACATGAATATGACTATACACTTCTCACATAATGATCATGTTCAAGAATTACACTCAAAAATATGCAATTAATTGTTGTTGTTGTTTTTTTTAGAAGATTCAAAATCCTGACCACCCAGGGCTAGTGCTAGGAGAAAATGACAAATTTGACACACCCTGTTTCTCTTACCCCACCCATGCTTCTTCACTTGGTAAGTAATATAAGGCAAATGCCAATTTATATAAATATAGAAACTTTGACCTTGAACCTTTATAATATAATTGTTAGTTAAAAGTAACCTCAACCTTCAACCATTCATATTGTTGTAATGATTCACATAGAAATACCTTAAACTTTATCCTTTATATCTAACAGTTTTTGACAAAAAATCACCAAGAATCAAATTTGATTCAGCCTAAAATAATGAATATAATTATATACATTGATAATACTCAGATATATAGTTTACCCAGACATCTAAAGTGTTTGCTTTAGCCTCTTATACTCAATTCAATTTGCCATTGTATGATTTGATAAAGACAAATTAAAAGTTGAGTTTTTTCCTAATTTTGTTTAAAACAAAGAGAAAATGGCTGGGTCATGTTAATTTGCAAAAAATGGTGAGAAAAAACTCAGCCATTTAACAACATTTCAATAATCTTTGATTTTAGAATCACATCAAATCTGAGTATATTTCTTGAACTTTGACCACAGACAGGACTTCTATATTTATTCCCCTTATCTGAAGGGAACATGACTGGTCTTAAAACACTATTTGTGTATTGTATACTACATAGTGGTATGCACCACCTAACAAAGTACCATAACTTTTCATGTTTTAAAATTTTGTTAACAATTCCTTTAAAAGACTTCATTGCAGAAATTATACTTTTTCTGTATAGTCCATTGTTAACAAAATTTCAAAAATAATGTAAAATTTATCATTTTAGTAACAAAATTTATTCAATTATAAATAAATTTTAACAAAAACGAAATAGAATATTTGCAGAAATTAGCATAATAATTTTTGTGTTATTAAACAATTTCCAATAAGTTCTACATATTTTAAAAAATTTAAGTAAAATATAATAATTAACAAAATTTCATATTATCTAAGATGGATTGTCTCCCTTTATATCCCCCAGAGATTTTATGCTACTATCTAAACTTCTGCAAATATTCAAACAATTAGCAACTGTTACAATGTCTGTGCTTACATATCAAAATGTCCAGAGAAACTTTTCAAATGATTGTGTGAATCTAACTTTTTATAGATAAAATTCTATACAGTGAACATTTGATTATTTTAACAAATAGTTAATTATTAGTCAATTAAAAGACTACTATTCTAGAAAACAATTTTTAAGACATCTTGCAACAAAACCTTTGAAAAGTGAGTCTGAATAAATCTTAAACAATATTTAATAATCTTAATTGTTTCAAAACAATTAGGACAGGAGCCCCCCTCTTAGAAACTGCTCATGCAGACACCTTAGACATGTTAGACTTAATAAACATCTCCCTACCTACATGCAGCACAATTTATTTTTTTTAGATTTTAGCTCTTTTGAAAAGGAAATGAATAGATTTAGTGTCAAATGTTGATACCTTAAAGAACTTTTTTTGGTGAAGACTGCATGTACATAAGAAAGACAATTGGTTCATTAAATTGACCAATATCAATGATAAATTTATGTCAAGACAAACACTGGCTTTGACATACTAGTATCACATATTTTGAACATAGAGACATAGTTGGCTTCCTTCTCTACATATATACACAATCAGTTTCATTTTGTATAAAATCTCTTATTGTGGTGTCATGGTAATTTGAACTGAGCTAATTCGTCCGAATTGTTTAGTTAAGTAAAACTTTCAATGTTTATATATAAATATAAAATTGACCTACCTTTCTGTATATCTCTTCCCAATTTCCATGTAGAAATAACATACTAAATTAATGCATTACACTTTTCCTTCAAATTTGGTTTTCAGATTTCATCAAAATAAAGAATTCCATTCTAATTCTCATACTTAAACCTTCTTTTCTGGTTTAACTTATAAAATGATCTTGTTCTGCTATGAGGTATAAGCACCAGATTTGAAGTAAAAGAACTTTGCATTAAAAACAAGAAGTATTCCAAACACAAAGTGTTTCCTAAATTTTGTTTTAGCAGTAATGTAGCATTCAGCAGTAATGTAGCTTATATTTTGTTTCAGCAGTAATGTAACATTCTTCAATTCAAAAGTAATGCTACAAACTAATACAACAGTTACTACTACTTGTTTCAGCAGTAACAGTTCCAATTTCATCAATAATGAACAGAAACACTACTACTAGATTCAGCAGTACTGTCACAATATTTCAACATGAGCAGTTCCGGTGTGGGAGGAATGTAAGCACAAACAACAGTTGCTGATTGCAGACTATCTCCATTTCCATGGTTACCGAAAAAATGAAGTTGTCTTATGTAATGCTCTTTTGTGTATATCAGTCAGAAAATTTGTTAAAGATATAATTACAATTAATGTTAAGATAATAACTTACTTTCTAAGGCCATATGCATTTGACCAAACAGACCAAGATAGTTTAAACATAAATATGCTACAAAGCAGACCCATTTAATACTTCAATGAAAATTAGATAAACTTAAACAGTTAAATATAAGCAATTGTAAACGTTTCAAAAGACTTTATCACAAAAAAAAAGAACCAATGTTGGTAAATTTATTCACAATGTTCACAAGACTTTAGACAACGTCTATTTTTGACAACCAGCCAATGGAGATAGTCAAAAGTTTAGAAAATAAGATATGAACACTTACTGTAGCCTTGCTGCATATCAGCTGCTGACCCCATAGCACCAGAATTTGGGTCAAAGTTCATTCCTAAAGATAAATTAGGATCCCAATCTTGAGGAATTGAAGGTCTACCGGGTTCAACACCGGTTATTTCTAACTCCATCTCACTTTCAGTTATAGCTTCAACTTTGATATTAACATTAGGGTCTAAGTCACTATCTGTCTTTTGTCTATCACTAGATTCACCCGTATTTCCGTCACTAGGTTCATTTGGAATGGTAGAGGAAGAAGAGTTTGTGTTTTCGTCATCTTTACTTTCGCCTAACTGAGATGGAGATTGACTAACATTATTTGATTCACTAATACCGTCATTAGATAAGTCACTTGGTTCTTGTTTCACCGGTGTAGTTGGCATAGAGCCAGTGGAGTTTCGCTGAGGACGTGAAATTGGATATGGTTCATGTCTAATGCTTGGTGATCTAAGACTACCACCTGGGGACATTCCTGGCATGGGGCCTCGAGGTAATATCTGTCTAGGATATGGTGCCCGTGGGTTCCTCCTTGGTGCCGGGCCATATCCAAGTTGGGCTGGTATAGGTATTTGTTGCATTGATTCCAACATTTGCTGCTGACGCTCTTTTTCCTTTTCGGCTTGCTTTTTCTTATGGTGTCCTGAAGAAATTTTTAAAATTGTTAAGACATGCCATATTTTTTTTTATTGGATACATTAAAATTTTATGCTTTTCAATAGTACTTAATAAAATAAGGTTCAAAATATTTTGTCTATCAATTTGCAGGGAAATTTATAATTAGTCACAACTGAAACAGTTAGCATATCAAAACCCACTTTTTGCACTGAAGCTCTTCAACCTGTCGTGAATTACTCCATACTCATAAGTGCTCTAGATAAGCATCATTTTTACTTATTCTATTTTTTTTAGAACAGGACAGTTTTAAATCTGTAAAACTCTTAACAAATTGAAAATCTAAATAATCAAAAACGTTTTTAGCAGGATTTGAACCTACAAAGATGATGGGCAACAACATTGACCACTCAGCCTACATGTTCTGAGATATATCACCCAACAAGAGCACCGCTAGGCAGCGCATTGTATGCCCGAAAGTGGTGGGTTTTTTTGTTTGTTTTTTTTTTAGTAAGGATTAAGCATTTGTATGGGAATAAAATTAAGTATTACCTCATTCAAATGGCAATCCTACTATGAAGTTTGAATATTGTGGGCCGTTATGCTCTGGAAACTGTTTTAAGGTAATAGTGACCTTGAACTTTGACCTTTTGACACCAAAATCAATAGGGGTGTTCTACCCAATATGGACAATCATCCTATGAAGTTTGAACACTGTGGACCAAATGGAACTTTCGTTATGTTCTGAAAACTGTTTTCAGTTTTAGAGTAATAGTGACCTTGACCTTTGACCTTGTGACCCCAAAATCAGTAAGGGTCTTCTACCCAAATGGACAATCATCCTATGATGTTTGAATATTGTGGGCCAAATGAAACTTGAGTTATGCTTCGGAACAGACGGACAGACGGACGGACACCAGGGGGTATAACATAATATGCCGGAAATTATTTCGGGCATGTAAAAAGACATTTATTATCCTATATTTACAGTGCACACTTACTTTTGAGACAGAAGCCAAGGAATTGAGACTTCACATCTTCGTGGTCTTCGAGAAATCCTTTACCCGAGTCAGAGCCCAGATGACTGAGAGTACCATCAGCAACACTGGCTGTCAATATCACAGACTCCTCATCTGTATGGGCAGCCAACTGTTCAACCTGGAGGAGAGAAGAGATTGTAGAAATTAAACAATATATAATAATTATAATGCAAAGAACAAAGAAAACATTTTTGCACCAGCGGTAGGCCAGCTTTTGTTGCTGTGGTCACACACACACCCGACTTGAAAATCAAATCAATAGAGTTTATCAATGGTCATGACCAACTTCCACACCCAAACTTAGCACTGGGTTCTTTTACATTGCAATTAATTTATTCTCATATTTCCACTTTTTTAGCAGATCTCCTTTAAATCACCTGTTGATAGCTAACAAGTATTATTATTTATATCAGGCGATACAAACAAATTTTTATAGTTTCAACAGGTCAACTAAACAATTGTGAATTGTAGTGCCTTGTGAAGCTTACATCAACTAGGGAATTACCTGGGATGCAAAGTTTTAGATTTAATTACAAATATTGCCCCTGACTACCAATAGTACGAATCCCTGTTGGGAGACTGAATTTTTTTCAGGTGTCTTTCAGCAGACCCTGGTCAGCCAATGATAATATTAACATGACTAAACTTTAATCCAAACTGTGAAAACTTTAAAACATTAAAACGAATATCAACTCACCAATTGCTGTATTTGGGTTTTTATCACAGCTTTAAGGATTACTTTATATCCTGGAATGTCTTTAATCACTTCCATATCAGGGGCAGTCATAATTGCTGTTTGTTTCTAGCCGATGCCAAAAAGTGATTCAAAAGCCCTTCTCCAAATCAGTATGTAAGTGGTTTCATCAACTTTTTGTCACTTACGAATGCTGTTTTAATGTCTTGGATACAGGGGTTTGAGTATCTTTAGCTTTTGTTTTCCAACAATTAAATTTCTTTGTGGTTGTTTCCTTCCTTTTTGATTGTATTCTTTCTCAAAATACAGTGTTTCTATTCTGAAAAGAAAAAGATAGAAATAACATGAAATTCAGGGCTTGAGCTAGGCTAAATTTTAAAGGAGAATTGACTTCTCCCTCCAGCTTATGTAGTGCCACTTTCCATTGGCAATGAGTCAGACTGGTCATCATTTTTAATTTTCCTTTAGCGATTTGCCCACAAGCCAGGATGTTATTGTATAATCAGCATGTTAACTTTACGAAGTTCAAAGTATGAATACAATAAAAGATACAAATCTTCACATAATTTCTACAGATTAGTGCTCCGAAAGTTTTTAGTAAGTGCTCCGAAAGTCTTTAACAATCGAATTTTCGAACATGTTCACACATTTAAGATGTTCGGCATTATTAATCTTTACTCACCAAAAAAAAAAAAAAACACCGCAAAAATTAACAACAATATGTATCTGCAAGTGTCTTTAAAGGACATTTTGACACTTAATGCATAAAAATCAATTGACTGTTTTATGTTTTGTAATTTATTTACTTAAACTAACACATTTTTCTCCAAATTCAAGCCGAAAATCAAACAGGATGTAGGTCGCGAAAATATGTGATAGAATATTTTGCCAATTTTTGGTATTAATATAACTCCATGTTCCTCCAGACTATGAGAATAAATAATATATAATATTTTTACAAATTTCTGCATATTTTGAGTAGAATTTTCACAAAGACACAATGTTTAGTGATATGATCAGCGTATTGGAGAGGATTGCCAATCGTCGGCATTGGGACTTTTTACTTGCAGGACAATCGGTAATATCAAACACTTTAGGCCTATAAAAAATTATACTATTTGAACAAAATGTGATTTTTTGAACAAACAAGCCATAAGAGTTGATTTTATTCAGACCAAGGGGAATTTTTTAGCTCAAGGGAAATTTTTTTTTCAGCTAGGGAAGTAGCCGTTAAACGGCTACAGTTATATAGCAAAAAAATACCTGGCATGATAATGAAAGCAATATCAATATTTTTCCTTGGAAAAAATGAGCGGTACCCTAAATAAATAATTTCATCCAGGTTGAATGGTTCTGTGTGGAATTGTTTACGAATAATGTCTTTTGTAAACTTGGCATTGATGAAGCATAACCATCTGATATGCACAGTCCAATTAGTGTTAAATCATATTTTGTCTAAAACACTTGAAAACAAGGTGGCCAGGGATATATGGTGGACAAGACCCTTCTGTATAGTTCAGGAATTGAAACTTGTAACTTGTACGTAATTCAGGGCTTGAAGTTGAGCTAGGTCAAAATTTTAGGGAGAAGTGAGGAGACTTTAGGGAGAAGTTGGGAGACATATTAGGCGTGATCTGGAGAATTATAAGCGAGGAAACTTTACAAACCAGAAAAGAAATAAGAAACACCTCGCAACTAAAACAATTCTACTATAAATCTACTTTCCGTAAATGTATACAGTATACAGGGCTCACGCTGTCGGTCGCCATAGTCGCCATTTGCGATTATTTTATAAGATTGGCGATTATTTTTGCATTTTGGCTACAAAATCTGGCGATTATTTTTTACTTCCAACAGTGTTTATATAAGGTGTAAAATCGATAAAGAATGCAGTAGACCCAATTAACACCAGCGGGGTGGATTTAATTGAGTGTCAACATTTTATCGGTCACGTGCTGCTTACCATATTGCCCGAGGTGATAAAAATACATGCGAGATGTAAAATTGTATAAGTACTTTAAAGATATTGTCCAGCATTATAATAGCCATCAAGTATCCGTCAATTAGCCAAAAAGCTTGTCTTAAAATTGATAAACTGGATATTGACCAACCCAAAATTTACGGGAAATTTACCGTACATTGCAGTAATGGCAAATTTTGAATTTTTTTGTTTTAAGCTACTTGACTAAATCGCCAGTGGAAAACAATGATAGAATATTTAAAAAGTATTAACTTCCAAACAACTATTTGCACAACAACCAAAATTGTGAGTGTTTCTTCAGAAAACAGGAAAAAATCCGATTGTCACATATTTACGCGACACCGATAATTTTGATATTTATTTAAAGGTGAAAATAAGCTATGTTCTGTTTAAAAATCTTTACTATTATGGCAGAAAATTTGTAACACATTGGTGATGATGACATTTTCAGTAAGTTATTCAGAAACAAGGAACATCGCAATGCGATGCAACCAGGTTTTCAGCAAAATATTTCACAGAAGCTTTGTCATGCAGGGGCATTTGTTTTAAAGTGAACGCCCGCCGCCCACCCAAAATCAACAAAACCCCGATGATATGCACAAGGACTCTTGATGAGAAAGCTTCTGTGAAAGTTTGTCAAAATAGTTTTGTAGGAAGAGGTGTGGCAAATAAGAATTTGTTCACTTTATATTCTATATATGGAACAAAAACAATTTCTATATAAGGGAAAAAAATAAATGGCCATAATTAGGTCAAACATTATCAAATCTCATAACCCTGACAACATGCAGCAAGAGTTGATGACAAAGCTTCTGCGAGAGTTTTGTCAAAATCCCTAGAGAATTGTAGGAGTTGCGCACAGAATTGCGCAGAGAAGAAGTGTTCACTATATATATTCTGTATAAGGGCCATAATTAGGTAAAAAATTATCTAATCACAAAACCCCGACAATATGTGCTATGGCACTTGATGACAAAGCTTCTGTGAAAGTTTGGTCAAAATCCGTTGAGAAATGTAGGAGAAGTAATGCGCACTCAGAGCTCCAGATAGCGTGCGTATAAGCGTAAAATACGCATAGAAAATCTAAAATACGCATCACTTTCAAAATTCGTGCGTCACAGTTACGCACAACAAAATGAAAATACGCTCGTATGTCAAAATTTATGCGTGAAAGAATAGAAGTGTAAACATTTGATATGTAGAAAGAAAATGTTTTGAGCATAAAAATACAATATATTTCCATTTTATTGCATTAAAAACTAAAAATTATGTTGTCAACAACTCATGTTAAAAACGAAAGTAGCAGGAAATACAGAAGGGAGGTAACTCCCGTACTACCTGTGAAATTATTGATGAAATTTGTGCCAGATAATCATCGTAGGAGTTAACACAGTATTAAGTTTGTTTAGGCATCTATTGACATGCTAATGCCTCAATACTGAGTATAGACAAAATATATTTTAATTTCTTTAACTTTTGTTGTTGGAACAAAAAAACATGTTTTTTCACCTGCAGTTTTGTACTCAATATTTTCGTACCCAGTCTACAGTTACGGACAATTTTCTCTCAGACCAATACTTTTTTTAAGGAAAGATAAAAATATATCTTTTTTATGTTTCTTTAATTCTAATTTCAACTATAATTGTTCAAACTGGAGTACATGATAAGGTACATGCCAACAGAAATAAAGAAAGAAAAATATTGACTCCTAGAAAATAAAATAATTTCAGGGCTTCCACTAGTGAAAGTTTGGGAGTCATTTACTCCTTCATTTTGGCCTGTGACTTCAGAAAATCAATACTTTTCCTTCTTTACCTATATAATGTGACTTCCAATATCAGAGATTTTGAAGTCTTTGATTTCCAAATTTTGAAAATGGAAGCCCTGATAATTTTGCTGTGTATCCTAAACTTGAGTTCCAGTATACTCTGGAAGTCTGATTTTACATGGCATGTTTTGTATTGTTTCACATTAAATCAGTATTTAATTTATGAAGGTTTTTCTAAAAAAAGAAAATAACCAAACAAACAAACAAAACAATAAGTTTAATTTGTTTATAAAAAATGCAAAATGCTTTTTTGACAGATTTTACCCCTTAAGTTTTTCAGAATTTGCATTTTACCCCTCACTCTAAATTTTGAGGGGTAAAAACCCCTTGGCCAAAAAAATTATCTGGAGCTCTGCGCACTGTAGAAATTGTTCACTATTATATTCTGTATAAGGAAAAAATACACAAAGGGCCATAATTCGGTAAAATATTATCCAATCACAAAACCCCGACAATATGTGCCAGGCACTTGATAACAAAGCTTCTAAGAAAGTTTGGTCAAAATCCGTTGAGAAATGTAGGAGGAGTTGCGCACAGAAGAAATTGTTCACTATATATTCTATATAAGGAAAAAAAACCAAAGGGCCATAATTAGGTCAAATATTATCTAATCGCAAAACCCCTACAATATGCGCCAGGGCACTTGATGACAAAGCTTCTGTGAAAGTTTGGTCAAAATCCGTTGAGAAATGTAGGAGGAGTTGCGCACAGAAGAAATTGTTCACTATATATTCTATATAAGGAAAAAAAACAAAGGGCCATAATTAGGTCAAATATTATCTAATCGCAAAACCCCGACAATATGCGCCATGGCACTTGACGACAAAGCTTCTGTGAAAGTTTTGTCAAAATCCGTTGAGAAAATGTAGGAGGAGTTGCGCACAGATGAAATTGTTGACTATATTTTCTTTATAAGGGAAAAAAACAAAGGGCCATAATTAGGTCAAATATTATCCATTCACAAAACCCCGACAATATGCTCCAGGGCACTTGATGACAAAGCTTCTGTGAAAGTTTGGTCAAAATCCGTTGAGAAATGTAGGAGGAGTTGCGCACAGAAGAAATTGTTTACCATCCGCCCGCACGCCGACATACCTCAATCTAATAACCAGTTTTTTCCTTCGGAAAACCTGGTTAAAAAGGCTGCATTCTGTGAATGAGTTTGCAAGTGTTATTTCAATAGGCTAATATGACCTAGATCTACTCCAGTTCTGTGTGAAATGTGGAAATTGACAGGGGTTATAGCTGACAAAATTTGATTAGAACAAACAAAAGAAATTGTCTGATAATAGCATTATGTAAATTCATAATGAATCTTTAATATTATTGATATACTGTAATTATACTATATAACATTTTTATTCTGTTCTATAATAACAATTTAAGTTGTGGGTCTATTTAAAAAAAGGTAGTTATCAATATATACACAAATGTATTAGTTTATTTGAGAATCCTTATAAAACTGAAAAAGTTTTATATGTAATGTTTATTTAATCAACTGCTTATGTTG